GTTTGTGGTTCTAAACAGTCATGCAGCAGGGGACGTGTTGGGTGGGTAATACTTTGATTTATTTGTCCCCTACATTGCTGAAAAACAATTCATTTATTTATATACCTGTCTTTGCTACAAAGATTATTTTACAAAATGGTTTGAAGAATGTGTTTGGGTAAGGATGGGGTTTCAGGCTGAAGAATGAATCCGGGAGCCTGTGTATCAACGTAGCTTTATGTTCATTAGACTGAAAACGATTGCACACTCACCATGCAGACGGAAGTATGTGGGATTACCCAAACTGCTGGTAAAAAATCCCAGGCAATCAATGTCTGTTTCTTTGCTAAACATTCCCAGGGTCTCTTCTCCCCCAGCTTAACCAGGGCTTTGCAGCCGACAGTTTGCATTCGTGAAGTGGTCCCTGTTTTTTCTGATTTTTGTGACGTGGATTCATAGAATCCCTCTGTTATTATGGGGTGCCAGGGTAACTTAGTGCTTGAAGGATGCTCTTTATGTCATCTTGCTGGGAGGGCAGAGCAGGTGTTTCTCAGAACGCCCAGATCCTTCGGCTCTGCCCTCGACCACCTTGATGGAGGAGTTCTGCTTTCTTCTCCCCGGTAGCCGTCTTCCTTCCCCATCTGCACAGCCTGCTCGGACTTCTCTCTGCTCCGGCTTCCTTCACGCTCGCGCTGCAGAACCTGCTGCTCTTGTCAAGCGTCTGGCCTCGCTCCCCTCTCGCGTCCCCGTGTGCCCGACTCAGCCTGTGTGCTGCCTTGCTGTGCGGTGCAGGTGGGAGCCCCGGGGGATGCCACTGCTCTGCAGAGGCAGCCACCAGGCCACAAGGAGGGACATTTGGCATTTCTCATCGTGGATGAGGGCCTGGGTATAACTGACGTCCATGAAGCACAGTTTGCACGCATTTTGTACTTGTCAGCAGTCCTTACGTCGCCTCCCTGCTGTTGTCTGTTGGCTTATGTCAGGAACATCCAATAGGTTAGCAGATAATAGTTCATTGATCCTTTGGCAATCATTCATCTATTGAATGAATGTGTCAAGTCTTGTTGGGACTTCTGGTGCCCCAGAATTAGACTCCCCACTGCTACCCCTCGGGGAATGTCGTCAACTTCTCCTTATTCTTTTCCCCAAGAACTTCTGAATGCTACTTTGACATCCTGAATAGCCAAGTAAAGAAATATTAGCTTGGGAACAAATGTGTCGCTATGGGCTTTTTGTATTCCCATGCTGGATGGATAGACATTAACTAGTGACTTAGCTTTGATTTGGACCATAAATAGGTGTGAGTGTGCATGAAACACAGCATCTATATAAAAATGTCACCTGTCATGGTTTCTATGCAGATGAGTTTTAAATCATTCAACAATTATTTGAATTTAATTTCTGATGGAGAAAGTCCATGAAGTTCAACTACCTCTAGGCCTGGCTGAGTGATCAGTGAATGAAATCATTTGTTTAGTGGGGCGGCATTGCAGGAAGAACTAGAAAATCCTTGGTTCTTGTCCTCAAAGTACCCTGGAGTCCCCCAAGGGCCCAAGGCATGTGTTCAGTGTGTGGCTGGACCCATGCCATCTTGGAAGTCAGTGGGACAATGTAGGGCATGCTCTGAGAAGGATTGAGTGATGGGATAATTAGAACCAAGCAGCCGTGGGGTGGACGGTTTGTCTGTAGATAATAGTTTGTTTGCTAATTGCCAACACCAGATTTTCTGGGCAATTAGACATTTGGTTTCCTCCAAGACCTTCTGTGCAAATATGGACACATGGCCGCAGGCCTTCAGGTAACAGGGGGAGAGAGGGTGGCTCCTGGTGCTGGATGTCATCTCTCTGCCAGCTGCCCAAGGGGTCACGGATAGGGCAGGCCTCCTGCCAACAGGTGCACAGACCATCTGGCCGGGTGCTAGCAGAGAAGCAGAATTCCCCCTGCTTTTGCTGAGGGGTTTGCCATTGTGCTGTGAGATTAGCCAAGATGGTGGTGTGTTGAGCAGTGAAATGGGCCAGGCACTGAGTGTATGTCTCCATGTTCTTTTTAAGAGCACGGGGCCATGGATGGTAAAAGTAATCAGAAATGGTTTCCCCTCCCAGATGAGCAAGTTGATTTTTTAATGAGCATCTCTTCATTATGGTAATAAATTTAATTATAGAGAATAAAACTTTCCAGGAGCTGGCATTGTGGTCCAGTGGGATAAGCTGCAACTTGCAATGCTGGCATCCCCTATCAGACTGCTGGTTTGAGTCCTTGCTGCTCCAGTTCCAATCCAGCTCCCTGCTAGTGTGCTTGGAGGTCAGCCGATAATGGCCCAAGTGCTTGGGCCCCTGCAATCCATGTGGCTTACACCAGCTGCAGCTGTTGCAGCCATTTGGGGAATGAACCAGTGGATGGAACATCTCTGTCTCTCTCCCCCTCTGCCTCTCTTTCTGTCTCTCCCTCTCTCTGTTTTTCAAATAAATGAATCTAGAAAAAATTTTAAAAATAAAATTTGCCATTTTAGCCACTTTAAAGTGTAGCATCCAGTGACAGGAATTATATTCACAAGGTTGTGCAACCATCACCATTGTCTATTTCTAAAATTGTGTCATCACCTCAAACAGAAATTCTGTACCCGTAATAAGCTTTAACCCTCATTCCTCCCAATTCCAGCCCTGGTAACCTCTGCTCTGCCCTCTGTTCTTTTTTTTTTTTTTTTTTTTTTAAGATTTATTTATTAATTTGAAGGCAGAGTTACAGAGAGGCAGAGACAGAGAGAGAGAGAGAGAGAGGGAGGGAGGTAAGAAGGGAGAGAGAGAGAGAAGGAGGCAGGGAGGGAGAGAGAGAGAGAAAGAGAGGTCTTCTATCCACTGGTTCACTCCTCAGATGGCCACAATAGCTGGAGCTGATCTGAAGCCAGGAGGCAGGAGCTTCCTCCAGGTCTCCCATGCAGGTGCGAGGGCCCAAGGACTTGGGCCATTTTCTACTGCTTTCCCAGGCCATAGCAGAGAGCTGGATTGAAAGTGGAGCAGCCGGGACTAGAACCAGCGCCCATATGGAATGCTGGCACTGCAGGCTGCGGCTTTACCCACTATGCCACAGCGCCAGCCCCTGCCCTCTGTTCTATGAATTTGCCTATTTGGATATTTCACATAAGGAGAGTTGTACAGTGTTTGCCCTTGTGTGTCCAGTTATTTGACCCGACATAATCTTTTCTAGGTCCAGCCATGTGGTCGGGTGTGTGAGAATGTCATTTCCATGTCATTTCTGTGTGATAGCATGTGTAAGAACGGCGTTCCTTTTAATAGCTGCATACTGCTCCACACATTTTGTTTATTCGTTCCTGTCAATGGACACCTGAGTTGCGCCTGCCTTTTGGTTGTGAATAAACCGCGATGAACATTCACGTACAAGCATCTCTGAGACGCAGCTCTCATTTCTTTTGGGAATGTGCTAGGAGCAGAATCGCTGCAGCGTACAGGATACTATGCCTTTTCCCGCCATTCTCCACGGCAGCTTTGCCGTCTTACATCCCCAGTGCCAATGCGCCAGGGCTTCACCTGCTTCCCATCCTTGCCAACACTTGTCATGTTCCTTTTCGATTTTTCAAAGACAGCAGGCATCCTAGCGAGGGAAGTGGTATCTCCGCGGGGTTTTGATTCGCATTCCTCTAGTGACTGATGGCGTCCGGCCTCTTCCCACGTCTCTGGGCTCTGCAGATCTTTGGAGAAATGTGTACTCAGGCCCTTTGCTCCGCGGGCTGTTTCTCCACTCCTGTAATTACCTGGCTGTGCACGCTCTTGTGGAGGCTGGCCTTGAGCCTCACCGGCAGGAGAGAAGCGTGAACGTAGAGGGAGGGTGGTGTCCGGACAACCTGGAGGCCTCGAGTTCACTGTTCCACGATTCGCTTTGTCCCATTTGGTCCCCACTCTAACGATGCTGTCTGGGTTCTCCCCACGTAGGAAAGGAACCAGAGGCAGCCTGGACTGACCCAAAGTGATCATGGCAGCAGAGGCAGAGGGAGCCCTGCCTGGTGCTTCCCGGAAGCAGGCAGGGCCTTCTCCGATGTCTCAAACCCTCTGGGTTCCTGGACCACAGCACTGTTTTCAGAAAACCACCTGCCTTTGTCCTGCCGGATATTGGCTGGGCACAAGGTGGAGCAGAGTGCGCCCCGCACGGCCTCGTGTCCCTGGGTGCCTCGTGTCCCTGGGTGCCTCGTGTCTGGGCTTCCTCTCCACTGTAGGAGTGCACGCTCCTTGCTTGGGGCAGCCTGTGGCCCTGCCAGTCCTGGGCAGCAGGCAGGGCGGGCATTGTGGAGCTTTCCAGCACTGTGCGGGGTAGTCGGCTTCTCCCGGGGGACCTGTCCTACGGCTCGGGGCTCTGGGAAGGTGCCTGCACACTTGCAGGGCAGCAGGACACGGGCAGTGCTGCATTGCTGTTGGCCCCCTCTTGTTTGACCGTGTGTCCCTTGCAGGGCCCCATCTCCTGGGGCCGGGGATGCTCATCTAGCTGCGTTTTTGCTGTGTCCTTCTGACTGACTGTGGAGAGCCTCCAGGGTCACTGGGTGACATGAGTTCCCCACACTGGGGCGGGGCCTTCCGCGGGACGCATGGAGGGGGAGGGACACCCCAACTGGGGAGAGCTTCCCACACTCCCCTGGGAACCTGAGGACTGCAGAGACTTTTCCAAGAAAGCACACCCGGAACTGACACAGTCTCAGGTGCTCCGGCTTCTGCCCCCTCTGTGGACTGGAGTCCCAACTGTCTCTGCAGCGGGCACAGCTGGGCGCTGGGGCCCTGGGGACTGAGCAGCGTAGCATAGTGGTGGCGCATTAGCACGAGGCTGGTGCTCACTGGGAGAAAAGAAACATCTCCTGGGGTCCAGTTCTACGTACCGAAGACAGGGGGCGCTTCCCCGGGCGCCCCTGCCCTGCTGGCTGGGCACAGTCCTGGAAGGAGCGAAGGCACGTGGGCCTCGCTTTGCTGCCTGGGCCACCCCTGCCACTTGCACAGCGAGTGCTTTGTGTTTTCTTTCAGAAACGGCCCCCACCTCTGCATACTCCTCTCCAGCCCGGAGCCTGGGGGACACAGGAATCACGCCCCTGTCCCCGTCCCATATTGTGGTAAGGAATGTGTGTGTGCTCTCGGGGTCTGCTTTGCAGTTCAGGCTGCTGGGAGGCCCCTCAGTGCACTCACTGGGTGGGGGTGAAATTGACCTGCTCAGGCCTCAGCCGGCTTCCCTGGGGGCCGGGGCAGGGGGAGAGGGTGGCAGGTGCTCTGGAGCCATGGCCCTGGGTGGGTGACGTGAGCAGGCAGGGTGGGAGCAGCCCTTAGAGCCTCAGGGCTCAGAGACTGCCAGGCACGCTCTTGGGAGACAGTGGCTGTTTCTGGCCAGGGCATCAGTGAAACCAGTGGCTTTGTATCCAGAAGCCTGTGGCTGTGTGGCTGCGAGGGGAGGAGACCTGGCAGGGAGTTGCTGGCAGTGACTGGGGCTGGAAACAGGGCTTCGTCTGCTCTCCGCTGATCTGTGTGGAAGGATGGAGACTGGGGGCAGCTGCTCCAGGGGGCTCGGGATCCCAGCAGGGAAAAGTACCCACTGGAAAGGGCAGTCCTTGGGGTGGCTCAGAGGACCCACAAGGAAGATGCCACTGAGGACTTTGGCGCCACCACCAGGTAGGGGTCGGCTGGTCCTGGTTTTCTGGGAACTGTCTGAGTTTCACACCAGAATTCCTGCATCCGGGGAAACTCCTCCAGGTCTGGGCAAACCAGGAAGGTTGGTCAGCCATGGCCAGGGCCTGTGGTTTTCAAACTGTGTGCCCTGAGGGTTCCCTGCCAGGAGCTTCAGGGTGGTAGGAACAGGGACAGTGGGAGGGGAGGCCAAGTGGGTGGTGTGCTCACTCCCTGCTTTAACCAATACAAGCCGTATCCAGAATTTGTTGATTTTTATAATTTAGAGTCCTATGGGAGTTTTAAAAAAAATCTACAACTGCTGAACACTACTGGCCTGCCTCAATGAGTTGAGCACAAGGATAGGCTCTGGGCACTGAGGGCCAGGGTCAGCAGGATGAGGCAAGGTCCCTGGTGCGCCCCGCCTGCTCCTGCTCCTGTGCACGGAAGGCTGGCACAGGTGGGCCCCTGGGGGGTACAAAGGGCACAGCTGGTAAGGTACTGTGGGCAGTGACTATGTAGGACTAGGGGGCACTCAGGACAGACTGCTGGGCCCCCAGCTGTGATGTTAACATCTCTGTAGTTAGCCACGCGTGTGCATGGTTGATGGCGGGCACCTGTAGGCAGGTGCCCTTGTGTGTGGGCTGCGTCCCTCACGCCAGGGGAGCCTCCACTTTGCCCTGGGCCACTCCTTCTCTGCAGGGCTGCCACTTGGCATACATGAGTGGGGACGTGGGAGGTGCTCTGTCTGCTGTGGGTGCAGAGCTGGGCAGGGTGGAAAGCCCTAGGCGCCCTCCTGAAAGCCAGGCTTAGCTCCCCCATGGCTGCCTGTGCCTCAGTGCCTCACTGTGTGTCTGCAGAATGACACGGACTCCAGCGTCTCGGAGCAGCAGGTGTTTCTTGTGGTGGTGGCCATTGACTTCGGGACCACGTCGAGCGGCTATGCCTACAGCTTCACCAAGGAGCCAGAGTGCATTCACGTGATGAGGTGAGAGCCGTGGGCGGCCAGGCATGCAGCTGGGGCCTGTTGCTGCACCTGTGCCGCTTCCGGGATAGAAAGACCCTGGATTCTGGTCTGGCTCAGCCCAAATCCTTGTGCCACTTTATACAAACCGTTTCTGACTGCTGCCCTAGGTTCTGGGTGTGTAGCAGTGTGGTTTTCATTCTGATTTGTTGAGTCTGGGAAGGGGCTGTCAGAGGGTCTAGAGCCTGGCCGGGTGATTCCAGTGTGTGTCTTGGATGAGAGGTACCCCCTGTAGGTCACCCGTGATGGAGGTGACCCAGCTGCTGACTCAGCCTCTACCGTGTGACCTTGGGGAGTGCTGGGCCTGCTAAGCCCATCAAACCCTGGTTTGCTCATCTGTGGACTGGAGATATGTCAGTACCCACGTCACAGGGCACGCATGCCGTTAAGGCCTAGCAAGGGCTCAGAGCAGGAAGCTGAGCTGGGAAGGTGCTGCTTCCTCCAAGTGGAGGGAAGCCATGGGTGACACTGCTGGAGGCAGAGGGCCTGAGAGAGCGAGGGTGGCCTGGATCTCAGCCAAGTGACCCCAAAGGCAGAGCTTCTCTGGGCCTCGTGGGACAGCTCTGGGTCACTCCCTCCCCCACAGTGCACTGGGCAGCCCGTGGGCCCTCATGTCCTCTCACCCGTCCATGGCATGACCTTCCTGGGGAGTCTGCAGCCTCTCTGGGCTCAGGAAGCACAGGATTTCTCACCCCAGCTTCCTAATTCCCAGGAATGGCTTCATACACGCTGGTGGTTGGCTTTGCATTTTCCTGCAACTGAGTGGTTGTGGAATTTAGTTATTGCTTAAAAGTGAGCTTTTAGGGGTTTGCATAAAGTAACACATAAACATGAGTCACCATAAAAGCAACCCTCACCCCAGTCTTGGTTTAGGCCACGCCTTTCCTCTTGAGAATCAGCTGTGCCCCAGGCTGAGGCTGCCACCCCAAGAGACTCCGGAGCCCCCGTGCCACCTCATCAGGAAATCGTGGGAAGCCCTTTCTATCAGGGATGCCCCCTGCCGGTGTAGCCCCCTGATTCTACCTCCTATCAGACAGACACACGCCAGCAGGTCCATACTGACCCCGAGATGGGAACCTGGGCCAGGGAAGTGTGTGCCCCAAAGGCTGGAGCCACTGATGGCCACGTAGCTACTCTAAGAAATGTAGTCAGGTGATGAGAATGGAGAGGTAAGAGCAGAAATCACTTTGGCCTCGCTTGGGAGAACTTAGAGCCTCGCCGTGGGCTCGGCTAGTGCAGCAATTTTGGAGGGAGATTGGTTTTCCCTTTTACTCCCATCAGAACCTATTAACATAGCCATGAGACAGGCTGACAAGGGTATGGCTGGGAAAGTCCAATGTTTTGTATTTAAACAAGAATGAGGGATTGTGAATGTGAAGGGAAAAGACTCAGGGGGGTGCTGCCTGCTGAAAGTGTCACTCTCTCGTCTTTGAGTTCTTTGGACAGGCAGCGTGCGCCCTGCTGCCTGGCACAGGGGCCATGCAGTGTCTATGCAGTCACCTCGGGAACTTGGGCTCCGGGGGCAGAAGCCGGCATCCTGAGGGAGTGTGTCTGGGAAATCGGCCAGGGATGAGGCCAGAGCCGCTGGAGCAGCAACTCTGGGTGGAGGCTGGCTCTCCGTCTGCGCGGTACTGGTGATGCTTAATGACCCAGCCTTAGGAGCAGGTCCAAGCTCGGTCAGGAGTGCAGCCGCCCCGCCCCGCCCTGCCCCCTTCCCGGCCAGGGGGTGAGGGAAAGGGCTTGTTCCCCCCTCTCTCTGGTCTCCACCTGAGGCTGCTCACAGAGGGCTGTGTGGCCAGGCCAGGCCAGGCCAGGGCCAGCCTCTGGCCCAGGGTGTGGCTGGGGAGAGAATGGCCTGACGTCTGGCAGCCCTGACTTCTCTGCAGTGGTCCCAAAGGAGAGAGAGCATGGGTCACTGCCCTCGCCACCCGGCTTCCCCGTCTCCTGCCTTTCTTTCTGCCCCAGAGAAGGAAGGAAGCTGCTCTGCCGCCCCGCCTGCCCCCTGCACCTGCTGCATCACGCTGCTTGTCTCCCCCTTCTCGCTCCCTCCAGCTCTTCCCCCTCGCTGCTCCCTTCCTTGCCCAGCCCCTCTTGTTGCTGTGGTGGTCACTGCTGTGTGGAGGTGCCTGGTCTGTTCTGGGATCCCTCCGCGTCCCACGCCCCAGAGACCAGTGGCGCATGGGCACTCCATTCTGTGACTTGTCCTGTCGCCTGTAGGCTCCCAAGGCTCCAGTTCTCCCTCTGCTCCCAGCTCTCTTCCTTCCCATGGCCCTCTCACCGCTGCTCCCAGGCCAGGCCCGGCCGCCTCGGTGCCTGGCTTCCCCCTCACCTCCCGCCTTTGGTCCAGTTTGCTCTCGGGAACGGCAGCTCTGATTCTGTCGTGCTCCTGCTCTGAAATTGCCAGTGGCTCCCTATGATTCGTGGGTTAAGTCTCAGAGTTCTCAGGAGTCTCCTTGGCCTGGTTCCAGCTGCTTTTCCAACCTCATTTCCTGTTCTACCCGATCACAAGATCACTCTGCCATCCACACATGCTTCCCCTACCCAGCACAGCCACTTAGCACCGCCCGCCCCGCGTGTCCGGTGTCTGCCCAGCTCTGAGCAGCCTGCAGTGTCCTTCCCTCCTTCAAGTCTCTGATGAGTCCTGCTTCTTCCACTCTGCCTCCTCCCGCTCTTCCAGCTGTTTCCCTGGGCTCCGGTTTCCACGCGACAGTGCAGGTCTTTGCGTATTTGTGTCAAAGCCAGGTCCGTACCTGCTCTCAAGTACATGGAAATGCGAAACAAAAACACACCCCCATTTACCTTCCAGATTGTGAGTTATTTACTGGGAGTGACATCACTGTTTCATATCTCAGTGTCACCAGCACCCAGCACCCAGTGAGCAGAGTGGGAGGATGAAGGCAGAACCTTGTTATTGAGTGAGAATCAGCAGTTGCTCATTTCCCTCCTCGTTTTCACGGAAGTTGTGTCTTGTCAGTGTGCATCTGAGCACCTACATGTGTAACAGTTGTGCACACAGTAGGTGCTCAAATCTGCACCGCTTGACCTTGGATCTCCCTCCATGGCAGGCGATGGGAGGGAGGCGATCCTGGGGTATCCAACCAGAAGACGCCCACCACCATCTTGCTGACCCCCGAGAGGAAGTTCCACAGCTTCGGGTACGCCGCCAGGGACTTCTACCATGACCTGGATCCCAACGAGGCCAAGCAGTGGCTGTACCTGGAGAAGTTCAAGATGAAGCTGCACACCACTGGGGTGAGCGGGGCCAGAGCGTCCCATCTCGGGGCGGGGGGTGGGGGTGCGGGGTGGGGGCAGATTCCTCCCAGGCAGAAGAAACTAGCATCGGTTGACTCTGATTTGGGGAACACCTGGAGTGCCCCTTCTCGTCTCTGGGTTGTTGGGGATCCTGAATGAATGGCTGAGTTGGAGGCTGGGAGCATTGGAGGGGCTTGGAGCAGTGGCTGTTAACTGGCCAGTTTGCAGGTACCAGCCGGGAACAACTGCACATCCCTCCTCTGTGGGAGGAGAGAGGCTCAGGCAAGAATTGGAGGCCCGGCTCCCAGAGCAGCGCCTTAGTTCTGTCCCCAGCAAGCTGTGTTCAGTGCTGTGTCGCAGTCAAAGAGATACCCCCACCCGAAAGCTTGATAGGAAGCTGGGCTATGGTATAGACTTTTTCAATTTAATCATTTTACACGATAAATTTTCTCTGGCTCTTGCTACTTATGGCAGATGGTGACATGGAGGTGGGGCCAGACAGTCTCTGGTGCCATCAGGAGACTTAATCCAAGTCACTTAACTTCTCCATGCCTTGTTTTCCTGTAGCTTTAAAATAATACTGTGTAATAATAATAATAATACTGTATCTTTAAAATTAAGTCAATGACAGTGTCTTGCTCAGGGGGCTATTATAAGGATTAAAGGAATCAAAACACAGCACGTGCTGGCTCCTATTATTATTGCTTTCGCTTGTTTGCTGTTCAGTATGTGCAGATGACAAAGCGAATGCCGAGGGGAGCTCAGCAGCCAGCCCCTGCCTTCCGAGGCTGCGTGCTTGTCTCTCAGGTGCAGGCCAGCTTCTGCTAGGACAGAATCGTTCCCGTCTCTCCCGGTGGGATTTGGTGCTGAGTATCACGATTGCCTGGGTGGACGCACAGGACTTTCTGCAGTTTCCATTTTCCAAGTCCGAGCCCAGGCTCCCTGGTGCTCTGCCGCAGAGCTGCAGCCCACGGGCCTGGGTATCTCTGCTGAGCCCCAGGAGTGGGAGGAGGCTGGCGGGGAGGAGGAGGGTGCATGTGTGGCACAGGCCGCACAAGGCCGCTTTGGTAACTCGGTGCCGCTTCTTGCTCCGGAGGCGAGGCATGCTTACCCAGCCTGCCCCACTCTGGAGGCCCCTTGAACTTGGTTTCGCTGGCAGTAATGGGTTGACTTTTGTGCACATTCCCAGCCCTTGGGGACTTTGCTCCTCACTTTTTAATGGCCTTTGTCCCCCCAAAGCATCCCTGGCCCAAGGACCACACTCAGCAGCTGTTTTAGCTTCTGGCAGAGAAAAGGAGGCAGCTGTGCTGGGCTCCCAGCGGATGAGACAGGGCGAGCCTTAAAATAGGAGTGCTTCTATTTTGGTGACTTGGTTGGCAGTGCACTGGGGAGTGAGAGCTTCATGTCTGTTTAGCATCACACACGGTAGCCAGCTGGCAGACTTGGGCCTCAAGGGTGACCGTGGGTGACCATGGGTGTCCTGCAGTGGGTGCCCTGCTGCTCCGTTTCCTCTCCTGGACTCTGCTCCCAGGGGATCCGGGAGAAAGGGAGGGAGGAAGGAGTAGTGACTGTGGGAGCAATGCTGCAGGCCCCACGACAGGGGCTACGCTATCCTCTTCTGCCTCCAACATGGGGAAGGCATGGCTGCCCAGGACCGCCCAGTTCCCCGCACCAGAAGGCGTCTCTCCTCCATCACCATCTCCTTTTGCTCCTCCCCCTCTCAACCAGGACCTTACCATGGATACAGACCTGACGGCAGCGAACGGCAAGAAAGTCAAAGCCCTTGAAATCTTTGCTTATGCCCTACAGTACTTTAAGGAACAGGCTCTGAAGGTAGGATGGGGGCTGACGCCCCTCAGCTGTGGTAGGTGGCGGCCCAGGCTGCTGCACCTGCAAGGTACGGGAGACAGTGCAGCCTAGAGGGAGAGAGCGTGGGCTGGGGAGTCAGGATGGCGGGACGTCCATCCCCTCAGCCTCTGCTGCTGGGACTGGAAAATGGGGCAGGGACTCTGTCCAGTGGGGAGCATCAGGCAAGGCCCCCCGTAGGAGGTAGACAGGGGAGGGGCGTCCCCAGGCAGCGAGTGGTGGAGCGAGGGTTTGAGCTGGCAGAGCAGCAGCAGGAGAGCTCAGGGGCAAGAAAGCCCAGCCAACAGCTGCTGGAGGCAAGGGCCTGGGAGTGGGAGGAGAGCTAAGTGGGGCGGGGAGGGGGGGGCTTTATCAGTGCGCTCAGGACAAGAGCCACAGAAGCCAAGCCGACGACTTCCTTCCTGGGTATCGGAGACCAAACAAGGTTTATAGTAGGGGGCTGGCGAGGCACCCAGAGTGCGATGGATACCTTAGACCGTGTGTGCAGGTGTGACAAAAACCACAGATGGGGCCAATTCAAGGTCATGGCACCAGCATCTCCACCTGCAAGATGGAGCTTTAAATACCAGATCCCCCAGAGGCAGGAGCAGAGGAGAGCGACCCCACTCCCACGGCCCTTTTCCCTGGGGCCTTTGTTCCTGCCTGAGGACAGGGCTCTCGCTCCCACTCCCCACCACGGTTGCGCTGGGGCTTAAATTTTCCGCCCAGGAGACCCTCATGTGGAGGCAGGGCCATCCCAGCAGTCCCAGGAGGCTGCAGGGTGGAGGAGCGCAAAGTGGAGGCAGCTAACTCCGCACCATCCTGAAGGCTTGCAGATGGCTCCAGAATTTGTGGGGGTGGCCCCGGGGACGGGCCACGCCCCACAACCTGCTGCGTTTGCCTCCCCCGGCTGCAGGAGCTGAGTGACCAGGCGGGTTCGGAGTTTGAGAACTCTGATGTCAGATGGGTCATCACCGTGCCTGCCATCTGGAAACAGCCGGCCAAGCAGTTCATGAGACAAGCCGCCTACCAGGTGAGGGCGGGGCCTGGAGGGTGGGGCCAGGGAAGGGCCCAAGAGGCCTGCGGTGGCGAGTGTGGCCTGCTCAGGTGTCTCCCAAGCTCCCAGGGAGCTGGGAGGTTTCCCATTCCTCAGCCTCCTTCTGGGGGAGAAGGGGGCCACCCCAACAGCAACAGGAGCTGGGCTGCCTGCCCTTTCTAGCTTCGTGTGTGTCCAGGCCATGTGTCCACTGCAGATTCTCAGGGGCTAGGATATCAAGTTGGAGGTCAGAGACCTTTCTCCAGGGGTGAATGGAATTGGGAACCTTGAGGAAAAGCCTTGGGAGACAAGAATATGTGAATTAGGAGGGAATAAAGACAAGGCCTTTGGACATGAACCAATGTTTATTTTTTAAATTAAGACATTTATTTATTTGAAAGGCAGAGTTACAGAGAAGGAGGTGTACACACTCAGAGAGAAAGAGACAGAGAGAAGGACAGAGAGATGGTCCATCCACTGGCCCACTTCCAAATTGCTGTGGTTGCCAGGGCTGAGCTGGCAGAAGCCAGGAGCCAGGAGCTTCATCCGGGTCTCCCACATGGGCAGCAGGGGCCCAACAACTTGGGTCATCTTCCTCTGCTTTCCCAGGCACATTAGCAGGAAGCTGGATCAGAAGTGGAGCAGCTGAGCCTCAAACTGGTGCTCACATGGGATGCCAGCATCACAGGTTGTGGCTTAACCTGCTACGCCACAGCACCGGTCCTCCCTCCCTCCCTCCCTCCCTTCCTTCCTTCCCTCCTTTTTTTTTTCTTTTTTAACATTTTTAAATTTATTTGAAAGGCAGAGTTAGAGAGAGAGAGAATGAGAGAGAGAGAGAGAGAAAGAGATCTTTCACCCACTAGTTCATTCCCCAAGTGGTTACAATGGCCAGGGCTGGGCCAGGCCAAACCAGGATCCAGGAGCTTCTTCTGAGTCTCCCACGTGAGTGGCAGGGGCCCAAGCACTCGGACATCTTCCCTGCCTTCAGGCCATTAGCAGGGAGCTGGTTCAGAAGTAGAACAGCCGGGACTTGAACCAGCACTCACAAGGAATGCGGGCAGCTTTGCCGGAGGTGACTTTACACACTACACCACAGCCCTGCCCGGACCCAGCGCTGCTGCCCAGTGCAGACACTGAGGCTGCGTGTGAACAAATAAAGGCAACAGGATCGTCCTCTGTTCCAGTTCGGACCTCCTGTGGGCAACACAGAGCACCTGGAGAGGGTGAGGGCAGCCAGCGCCACCTGGTGGCAGACACCTGCATGACTGCAGCAGAGAGGCCACGAGGGGCACCAAACAGCAGGGTGCCTGTTGCCATGGAGACAGAACATGCCAGTGCCATGGAAAGCTCACCCTCTGGGCACCAGTGCCACACGCCTCAGGGTCTCTGACTCTCACGCCTGACTTGCAGACAGGTGACGGCTGGCACCACAGGCTGCTCTGATCCCCACATGGAACAAGCTCCTTTGGTACCCGAGCCCCAGGATTTAGGAAGGCCCACCCTTGAGGCCTGGATCAGCTCTGCGTGTTGAGAGTTAGTTTTCTGAGCCTCCATTCTGCAGCCGGCCTGGGGGCAAATCATCCGGGTAATAGATGTCCCCTCTCCCTGTCACACCTCTCCCGGGATACATACTTGTGATGTGGGTCATGTCTTTACAGAGTGCCCAGAGAATCCCCCTGAACCCCAGAGTGTAGACAAACAGCCCGCAGCCTTGGCGCTGTGCACGGCATTCATAGCCCAGGGCTGTACTCCGAGCAGCAGGCCCAGTTCCACTTGCACACGGCCCCCTTCCCTTCCCCGGGCTGTTCCCTCCGCTCTCCCCTTCCTCTGTGCAGCGTGAGAATCTGGCTCGGTGTGCGTATCTGCCAAAAATAGATTTGTTTTTGCAGGGCTGAAGGAAGCGGGTGGGAGTTCCAGAAAGAGGCAAGTTCTTTAAAACACAAGAAGGAAAATGCAGTGTAGCTCTTCACAGAAGCCCTGGGCGCCGTGGAGCTCGTCCGTAGGGTCGACCTTCAGCTTGAGTTCAAGGACGGGCCCTTGGGAGCCAGCCGGCTGTGAAGTCACCAGCTGGCGTGCTGAGATTTTCCCAGGCAGGATACTCAAGGTGCATGCGGTAGGGGTCTCAGTTTCCAGCCCACAGAAAGACGTTAGCAGCCAGTGGTTGACCTGTGAAAGGGTCCTTTCTTATTTTCATCCCAAAAAAGAAAGGCATGCGGGGACCGGTCGGTTTGCCAGGGCTGTGGGAGTCCCGGCCGGCTCTGCCTGGGCTGCGTCTCTGAGCCGGTGGCGCAGGCGTGGGGCCCCACACCGGGAGTCTGGGGCAGGGGGAGCACAGTGCCCTGGGGTGGCGTTAATGAGATCAAAGGGGCTCCAGGGTGCAGAGGGTCAGCAGCTCCTGGCAGGCACACGTGTGACAGCCTGTATGGATGTGGGACATTTGCCTTGTGAAGCCCAGAGACACTGCAGGCAGGCGGTCTCGATGACTGGGGCTTGTCTGGCCTGTTCTTTTGTTTTTTAAAGATTTATGTATGTATGTATTTCAAAGGCAGAGTCTCTCTTTCTCACACACACACACAGAGGGGGAGAGAGAGGCGGAGCTAGAGAGAGAGAGAGAGGCAGGGAGGGAGCGAGGGAGGGAGGGAGGGAGAGAGAGAGAGAGAGAGAGAGAGAGAAATCTTCCATTTGCTAGTTCAATCCCCAAATGCCCACAACAGCAGGGGCTGGGCCAGGCTGAAGCCAGGAGTCAGCAACTCCATCCTCTATCATCTGTCTCCATCTATCTATCGATTGGTTATCTATCTACTTACCTGTCTTCTGTCTATCAGCTATCTACTTTATCTATGTATCTGTCTATCTTCTGTCTCCCCATCTATCTATCTATGTATCTGTCTGTCTTTCTATCTATGTATCTATCTATCTATCTATGTATCTGTCTGTCTATCTATCTATCATCTATCTATGTATCTGTCTATCTATCTATGTGTCTGTCTGTCTATCTATCTATCTATCGATCGATCGTCTATCTATTTCTATCTCCTACTGGTCTGTCTCTCCGAGAGCCCTGGCTGACACAGGACCTGAGCTACGATCATTCTCAGCGCAGCGGCTCCGGGGCGTGCTCCCCGGGCACCCGTCTAGGACAAGGTCTTTTGCCAGGTGGATATCCCTTTTCTTTAGCAAGGTGGGGACTGCGCGTTCACTACGTTTCTGCCCAAGGCGCGTCTGGACGGTCTGACTTCCGGGGGAGGAGCTGCAAGGACGAGCTGGAGCAGCTGCTGCAGCAGGCCCCTGGGAACTGCTCCTGCCCGTTGTGCTTGCACGGGGAAAGGGAGCTCCTCTTCCTAGGCTTCTCGGAGACCCCTGAGCACAAGTGCACGGCACAGTCATGTGGGGGCCGAGCGTCAACCTCCACCTGGCAGGTGGGGGAGAGAGGGGACCTGGAGCAGAGCCGGCCGCTGACCAGGGGGCAGCGTCGTCCGTGGGAGCAGTGTCAGGAGTTCTGGGTCCTCTGCCAAGTCTGTGGCTCACGGCCACGCACACAGACTCTTGTCACCTGTGGGACTCGTGACCACGTCAGTGTCAGGCGTTTGTTGAAGAAATGGGCTCACTCTCTTCTTGTACTTCCCACACTGTCACCTTTAGACACTTCAGAGCACGCATTGAAAAACTGGTAGCAGAAAGGATGGCTGATCCCGTCAGAGGCCTCTTGGAAAGGCCTGGAAGCGGGACAGAGTCCCACTGAATCTGGGGAGCAACTGTGCATAGGAAAGAATCCAGCGTCTCTCAAGGCATCTTGCCTGAAATGCGGAACGCTAGCAGGTTCCAGAAACCTGTTCAATAAATGATGCTCCCATATGTGCGCCGGTCTCATCTCACAGGAAGACGCAGCTTGCGTTTCTGCACAAGCTGCAGGGAAAAATAAGCTTGTGGGGGGATAAACCAAGCTTCCGCACACCCAGATCTGGTGCAGCTGCGGCCTGACCACAGGCCAGCAGAGCACTCCCTGGCCCGGCCATTTCTCTCCGTCATGGACAGAGGAGTCCCCTGGCTGGATTGTCCTGGCTGATCAGGGCTGGGGAGCAGGGGTGGCTGGTGTCAACACCGCTTCCCCCGTCTCCCTGGAGGGCGGTTTTCTCATCTGCTGCCCTGGGTGGAGCCTGTGATGCCAGAGGCATGCTAGGAGGTTGCTTCTGGTGCCCCAGATTCCTGGGGGTGTCAGATGGGGGAGTGTGCTTTCTCTTTGAGGACTCCCCCGGTCACACGTGTGGCATGCTGACAAAGACGAAGGGCAGAGAACTGCCGGGGAAAGACTGGCTGGAGGGTGCTCCATTGTTTTGCTCAGCTGCTACCTCTGGGCTCGCAAGAGGACTTGCTCTTGTGCTCAGTAAATGCACCGTCTTGCAGGAGAGGCTCCACGTGTCTGCACCCTCTGCGTGGCTGGACACAGACTGTCACGTGTTTGGGTAACCAAGGGCTCTGGTGCAGAGGGAGCTCATGCCAAGACAGTGGCTGTGAGCTGCAGAGGCAGAATTAGCAAAGGGCGAGGGGATGTTCTGTGCAGCTGGCTGCGGCCCCATCCCGAGGGCTCCTGTGTCTTTAGGCAGACACAGAGCTCCCACATCCGGGCACTGGGTCCTCCTGCAAGACATAAAGCGTCTGGGTCTTGGAGAGCCTGGGCCATTCTTTTAGGTTTCCTCCTTCTCTGGGGAGATGGGACTTGGGTGGAGCCAGCTGCCCCTTCTTGCCTCCCCCTCACGGCTCTCCTCCGTGGCCTCCACGTGCATTTGCTGGTAGGGACATGGCCCCTCCCTTGTTGGAGAACGTGATGGGGATAGGGCACAAGGAGGGTGATTTCTTGGTCCCTGATCTCCCAGACCCAGGGTTTCTCCATCCTCTCCAACTATGGGGGACCTCCTACAGGACTTTTGCCATGGAGCCAAGTCCAGCCCCCCTGGGGAGCAAAGGCACCGCCCCCACTGGGTGGGCAGACTCCGTGAGCCCAGGCATCTCTCCCGCGGCCTTCTCAGGGTGTGGCAGTGTCCCGGCAGGGACTGTCCTGCTGGCTTGTCGGCCACACGCCCACACACGGGACACCTCACGCCGCATGCCTTTGCTCACAGCTCTTCATGCCCCTGAACTTCCTGATTTGATTTTCTTTCTTTGTTTTCCTTTAAGATTTATTGATTTCTATGTAAGCAGTTCCCCTGGAAGCCAGAGTTCCTGCTGAGAATGTCGGGGAAAGTGCAGATGTCTCTTTTATCCCATGTACTCTTTCTTTTGCAGGTTTTTTTATTGCTTATTTTTATGTATTTCCAAAGCAGAGAGAAAGACAGATGGACCAAGAGACAAAGAGACAGATAGCACACCTCTGTCCCTGATCCCCAAGAAGAATCCCCTGCCCATCAACAGTCTGGTGTAGAGTCGGTGGAGGGGACTGTCTCCAAAGTGGACATGGGTCAGCACCCCGAGGGCCCCTGGGAAATGGTGACAAAGACAGCAGCACGCAGTGATGGGAACAAAGCAGGCTTCTCTGTCCATCGTGCTGGTGGCCAGGGGGACCCTGTGCCCCTGAAGCCCCCCACAGGCAAACGAGACCTCCTGTTTCCTCATGGCCAGGGGAGGTGGGCAGGGACCTGGCAGGAGGCTAGGTGCGCTCACTTCTCTGGGTGCCATCAGGTGGGTGGTCCTGGGCTGACCCTTCTTTGGGCCCTGGGGACTGGCACTGGGACAGGTGGACTATCAGGAGCTGAAGGTGTTCCGCCTCCTTCAGGCCAGGATCCCGAATGCTCTCAGAAGGATGGCGCAGATGGGAACTTGGGGGCCGAATCACTGAAGGGGTTTTTGTTGTTGCGTGGGACGGACGTGTATAATACAAGCGACTAGGGGAGAAGCGCCGATTGCTGCCAGCTGACTGTGGGTTCCAGGAGGTCTTGCTGCTGGATGGAGCCCCTGGGCGGGCAAATAGCAAGACCCCTAATGCTCCGGAGGTAGCAGGCCAGACCCCATGAAGTGCAATCAAACGCACAAATGACATCCTACTATGGCCTGGTATTTGCGCCAACTCGGGCAGACCACGTGGCCCGTGGGAACCAGGAGCAGGCCATCTGCCTTGCATCTTGCGAAGGTCTTTAAAGCCTTGGGGCCTTCCCCACTGTGCCCCCACCACTCGTGTACCGTGTCCCACCCACAGCCCGGAGTCCAGATTCTCCCACCTCCCTCCATGCTTCTCAGCTCTGGGCCAAGCCAGCCCCAGGTGTGGGAGTCCCCAGGCCCTGCACTTCCCAGGGTCGCTTCTCCATTGCCTGTGGCCCCTCTGGGGTGTCTGGGGCCCAGCACCCACTCACCTCGATGCTGAGCTCTGTGGACGCTGTGCAGGCACAGTCCCAAACGAGCTGAGCCGGGGTGTCACTTCCTGGTGTCCTCCAAGCCAGTGTCCTGCCCAGGAGCCCCCGGTCGCAGCCTCTGCTTCTGTCTTCCAGGCGGGCCTGGCCTCCCCCGAGAACTCGGAGCAGCTGATCATTGCCTTGGAGCCCGAGGCGGCCTCCATCTACTGCCGGAAGCTGCGGCTGCACCAGATGATCGAGCTGAGCAGCAAGGCAGCCGTGAATGGGTACAGCGCCAGTGACACAGTAGGAGCGGGGTTTGCACAGGGTACCTCTGCTCTCTCTCTCCCTCCCTCCTTTCCCCTCCCGACCCCTGGAGGTTTCTCTGTGCTGTGAGGAGAGGCAGGACACCCCAGGAGGAGCCCGGCCCCCGGCCCCTTGGTGCTCAGCCCTTCAAAGACCGCCACAAAATTAAGCAGCGATTACCCTGGGTCATCACCCACCAAGTGCCTGGTAGACGGTAGTTCTCTCCAAGAACCTGAGAGCGGCTGCCAGCAGTCCGTGGCCTTGCATTGTCCGAGACGCTTGGGCTTTCTTGTCCACTAACCGACTCTTAGTCTAATCCCATTACCTCTTAACTTCATTAGCACTGTGGGTTTCTTGCTGACTCATTCGCTGGTGCCACTGTGTGTGATGAGCTCACTGTGTGTCTTAGCCAAGAGTTTCCAATGCAGGAGAAGCGGCTGCCTCTGCTGCCCCCAGGATGCTCACCTGGCGGGGGCAGCCCGAGGGCTACTGTAAGGGGCTTTTTCTTCTTTAGTAGTCACCTGCCCACAAGGGGGTCAGCATCTGGGCCCCCAGAACTGCTGTCTCGGAATATTCTAGGCTCTGTGTGTCTGTCCAGGGCCCCGGAGTTTGCAGGAAGGCTAGGTGAGGGTCCAGACAGTACTGTGAGCACGGGGACTCCTGGGGAGCAGTGCAGGGACTGGGCCGTGCACCGCAGCTCTGAGCTCTGCTCCTTCCACTCCTTGGAGGCAGTGACCCACCTGCCACTGTGCAGGCCCCCAGGCTGCCCCAGCACGCCCGAGCCCAGGAGGAGGAGCAGGGAGACACCAGTGAGGACTGTCCCCCAACCTCACTGTCAGGCTTTCCTGAATCTGTGCACGGACACACTGGGCGCCGGCTCCCCTGGATAGACGTGCGTTGGTGCCCGCCCAGTGGGGGCCTCCTCCCTCCTCCTCACGGGGCTCGCTGCACCAGCAGCCACCTCTCTGCCTCTGCTCCCCCAGAGTTAGGAGTCTGTGGAGCGCAGCCACAAGGCAGCAGTTCACGTTTCTCCTTGTCCCCAGGCTATGGCCCCGTCTGTTAGCCCCTTAGGCCCGATGTGCCCGAGGTGAATGGAACAGGCTTCCCTTCAAACCCAGGGCCCCTGGCTGGCCTGGCCATGCGCAGCCTCCTGAGAGCAGCGAGGTGCACCTGACCTGACCCAGACACCTGAGCCATGACACACACAGGACCGCAGCGCGACTGTTTATATTGGAGAAAGGAGGCACGACTGGGCTTTTATCTGACACGCCGAGTCTTGTTTGTTCGTAAACAGACATTCATGTCGGGATGAGCTAATTGCAGCCTGGCTGTTCCTAATACTCCACAAGCAGCGGGGGGAGGGAGGCGGTCCCCCGCCGGATGACTGCCTTCCGGGAGCTCCGTGTCTGGCTTCCCTCCCTCTCACACACTGCATCCATCCCCAGGCTGCTCCGCCTGCCCGGCCTGGAATTTGTTATCACCTCCGTGCGCCTGGAGGGGCGCTGTGGTTCTGGAAATCACCTCCTGGAGGCCATGACGCAGAGCTCGGGTGTCCCTTGGAGGAGGGAGTGCCATCTGGGGGTGCCTGGAGGGGCACTGAAGCAGGGGCCCCTGGGGTTCCGCATGTCCCTTCGCCATCCAAGCCCAGTGGATGCCACGGGGGAGGAGCGGAGCTGGCTCTCGGCCCCTGGCTCCACGCGCTTGTCCATCCATATTGTCTTAGTCCTCACAGATTTAATGAGATCGATAAAGGCTGGGTTTATTCACAATCTTGGGCTTAATTTGCCTGGAAAAAAAGGGGTAATTTTTTTCAGGGCTCAGAACATTTTTTTTCCCTGCCTTGCTTGGCACTGTTTTAGAAAACCAGACGCCCACCACGAGGTCTGGCATGTAGTTCACCTGGAGCCAGCATGGGCCACGGGAGAGAAGCTCCGAGTTTGGGGGCCCCCTCCCGGGCTCACGGGAGCTCTTTAATAAGGGGCGGCTCCCTCTCCACTGCTGCCCTGGCCCCCAGGAGTGGGACGGCACCGGCTGCTGTTTGCCCTTCTACTCTCCAGAGAAGCTGTTTTGCAAACACTGTGCTTCTTGCTGAAAGAGGCTGGAGGATCAAGGGTCCTTCACTGGATCACAGGGAACAGAGAGGCTTGTAGGGCAATTCAGAGGCAGCAGCGCCAGCTTAGGGACTCCAAATAGGAGGAGGTTGGGGGAGGGGGCAGCGGCGCAGGGGACAGCAGAGCTGTCATCTGTCACCTCCGGCCTGCTCTGAGCTGCTCATGATGGTCGTCACTGGTTGAACACCAGGTGTCCTTCTAGACACCTGCCTTCATTGCCACCTGCTGTGTGCCAGCCGGGTGCTGAGGCTCCATTAGAGATCCAGCCCTGTCTACCCGTGAGGCACTTGGGCCAACCGTGACCATTCCCATTCTATAGATGAGGAAGTCGAGGCCCAGAGAGGTTAAGGGGTTGCCCGTCTTGGCTGCCCCTGCGCACCTGTCTCCCATCTCATTTTTCCGCTTCCTGTGGGGTGAGGAATGTCCCAGCTGTGAGCTGTATAAGGCCTTTGACATCGTCTGGCCTGGCCCTGCCAAGGCTTCTACAGGGAGGACTCGAAATTCAGTGAGTCTATAGCAGGCTCATTTTTAACTTGATCATTCTGTATGGCCTGCAGACAAAGTTGCCAATATGCAAATGGCTCTTAGCAGAAAAGAATTCCCCACCCCTGCTTGAAGTCATTAAATCTCAAAGGCACGGGGTCTGTGGACTGAGGGTTAATTAGGGGCCACCGGACAGGAGTTGGTCGTGGGGACTGCCAGGTCCCTTCACCTCGACTGCTTCCTCCTCTGAACGTAAGAACGGAAGCCTCACAGGCCTCCCGGCCCAAGCAGCAGCCATGACCTCAAGCCTGCGTCCACTGCCGGTCTCAGAAGCGCCACCTTGTGGTGGCAGCGGATATTGGCCTCAACAGGGTTAGGAGAGGGCACCCCATCCATTTCTGTAGGATCAGGATTAAGAACACGTAATGGCCATTCCTCAGATCGGACAGAGCTCCTGGATGTGAAACCCTTTCACCGCGGAAGCCGCAGGCTGCTTGGCAGGCAGCTTGCTCCTTGGGGCAGCAGTGGAGGGAGCCGTTCAGAGTGGGCTTCTCAGCCAGGCCCAGGCCGGAGTGACCAGGCAGAGGAACTGTGGGGGCGGGCGGGAAAGGGCTCCTTTCTCAGGGAAGAGCTGGCTGGGTGGTTCCCCGTGCTGTGCGTAGCAACCATTCTGAGCAAGGGTGGCTAGCTGCTCCATCCCTCCGCCTCTCCACTGTTGCCTCCACCACCGCAGACGACTTTGCTCCTTCGTGCTGTCTCACCCTCGTCATTTTCTTTCTGTCGGCCACTAGCTAAGGAACACATACGGCGTAATCGGCAGAGCCGGACCTTTTTGGTGGAGAATGTCATAGGAGAAATCTGGTCTGAGCTGGAGGAAGGTAGCGTCCTTGAATGTCCTTTGCTCTTGCTAGATTTTTACGTGCTGCTGTCAAAAAAAAATAGAAAATAAAAATAAAAAGATGCATTGCCATTTGTTCCTTTTGCACTCTTGGAGGATGCTCATAGCACTGGGTTCGGAGGACCACTCTCCCAGGGAGAGGCCTTTAGGGCGCTGTCCTTTTGCATGTCGTAAAACCACGGAGGCTCTGCAGCAGAAAGAGGAGAACGGGAACGCACCATTCCTGAATCAGTCGTGGGTTAAACAGCAGGTAACTGTCTGGTGCTTGTCACCTGGCAGGACGTGTGCGTGCCAGGTATGCAGCACTGTGGGACGTGAGTGCTTCGGTCACTCATCAGAGCCCTTCATCATCCATGCTTACCTGGCCCTCCCGGGCCACTCTGTGCTGCTAACGAGCCAAACCTTTGTGCGATGAGAAGTGCCCCTGGTGCTTAGCTGGGGCTGCTAAGTTGCCACCTCCCCGGAGTAGTGCAGATGGGCTTGGCAAGTGGTCCGTGTCAAGGACGGCTGTTTTTGTGCCAGGTGACAAGTACGTGGTTGTGGACAGTGGCGGAGGCACCGTGGACCTGACAGTCCATCAGATCCGGTTACCAGAGGGACACCTTAAGGAGCTGTATAAAGCCACAGGTGAGCCACTGCCTGGCTAATTGCCACATAGCTGAGCTGTTTCGGGGTTCACACAGCACTTCATTCTCTCCCTGTCACTTGCATGTGGGATTGTAGGCGGGAGAGAGTACGAATGCCTGCTTGGAACCGGAAAGCAAAATGCTGTTAATTGTTCTTTAAAATGCAAACCGGCGCTACGTGGGATCTGGCATCTCGTGCGTATCTCCTGACATTCTGGAGGTGATGGTACCTGCTGTCGCCTGTGACTTGGAGCTGAGGCCAGCCTTCGGAGGCCCCAGGACACCTGGTCTTGCTTAGGGTGACGAGATGCCACGCTCTGCCCTGGGACCTCCTGGGTGGGCACACGGTGATGCTCCTAGCTAGTCCAGTGGCTTGACTTTATTTAAAATGCAATTGATTTCAGACAGATGGGTGATGAGACTCCTGCAGGAAAGAGTTTCTGCACGTGGAATGAGAAGAATGTGAGGTTCCAAGTGTGGGTGCCGGACAGCTGCAGTCTGCTTGCCGAGTGGGTCCAGGGCCCTGTTGCCTTGGGCTTCAGAGGAGAGCGAGCCCAGCGCATGCCTGTCTCTCAGAGTTTGGGCTCCGTTTCTGATGGTTTCTAACATCGCAGGCTCCCATTTTGTTCCCAACTCAGGTGGACCCTACGGATCCTTAGGAGTAGATTATGAATTCGAAAAGCTCCTGTGTAAGATATTTGGAGAGGATTTTATCGAACAATTCAAAATCAAACGTCCCGCGGCCTGGGTTGACCTAATGATCGCGTTCGAGTCTCGCAAAAGAGCAGCCGCCCCAGACCGAACCAACCCGCTGAACATCACCCTGCCCTTCTCGTTCATCGACTACTACAAGAAGTTCCGTGGGCACAGCGTGGAGCACGCCCTGAGGAAGAGCAAGTGCGTGAGGCTTGCCTTTGGCACGGACGTAGCGGGGGATGGTGCGGATGGGAGGGGAAGTGGATGTGGACTCTGGCTGCTGTGGGCTCTCACTGTGGGCAAGGGACTCGCCTCTCTGATCCTCAGTCTTTTTGTCTGGAAAGTGGGCATACTAATTCTACTCACCCTACAGGGTTCCGGCGGGGACAGAATGGCTGTGTGGATGTTAGGTGCTTATCAGAAGGCAGGGGACCTGGAGGTAGTACCCGTGTGCTAGCTGGTATTCACTGAGGCGTAGAAGCTTCCTGACAGCGGGGACATTTAGCTTGGACTCCAGGGGCTCTGGGTTTGCTGCCTCTCAGACTCCCTTGTCCACAAGCATTGGTGGCTCAGAATGTTGCAAAATGAACTTATCTGGAAGATGGGTTAAAGCTGAATTTTAAAAATAATAGACCAAAATCACAGGTTTCTTATAAGCTTCACAATTTTGTTGGTAGACATATCCTTAGTGAAACGATTACTGTGTTAAACACACTCACATACCTAACACGTTTTTCTGAGGGGAAAAGTCCCAGTCGTTTGCCCTGTAAAACAGAAACACAAACCTTTCATCCGGTCAGTTTCCTGCCACACTACATCCTCATCTGCCCCCCCCCCCAAGCATTTTATAGAAGATTCACATGGTTTATCTTCTGTTTTTAATTTTATTATTTTAATTAATTTATTTTTGACAGGCAGAGTAGACAGTGAGAGAGAGAGAGAGACAGAGAGAAAGGTCTTCCTTCTATTGGTTCACCTTCCAAATGGCTGCTATTTCTGGTGCACTGCACCGATCTGAGGCCAGGAGCCAGGTGCTTCTCCTGGTCTCCCACGGGGTGCAGGGCCCAAGCACTTGGGCCATCCTCCACTGCACTCCCGGGCCACAGCAGAGGGCTGGCCTGGAAGAGGAGCAACCAGGACAGAATCCGGCGCCCCGACCGGGACTAGAACCCGGTGTGCCGGCGCCGCAGACGGAGATTAGCCAAGTGAGCCGTGGTGCTGGCCACATGGTTTATCCTCTAATACACAAATACAAGAATACCTTTAAAAGTTCATGGAAAAATGAAAATAAAAGAGAAATGTCTCTTGGTGCAGCTGCTTCTCTAACACGGCTTTTTCATGAGCTTCTGGAAGACCTCTTGCGCGCAAGGAGCTCGAAACTTCCTGCGCCAAAAGACACTTCCGCTTCACTGTGTTCCCATCAGCCTTCCGAAGCAGCCTCCTGCGTCAGTGTGGGGCTCTGCAGGAGACACGTTCTAAGTCCCAACCATAGTACCATCATCATCATCAACCACCTAGTCAGCATTAACATTGGTTTTCCACTTAGCTCATAAAGTCTCTCCATTTGCGTCACGGTGCACGCGAGGGCTGCACACGGCGAGGGCATGACGTGCTGTGGCGTACGCCGAGCGTACAGGCCCCTCCTGTTTACGGTTTATTCCGCAACAACACGGCTGTTCAAGCTGCTGAGTTCTCTGCTGTCTGCTTTTGCTCCCCGCCTGCCCGGGGTGTTACGTAACACTGTTCTACTCTCCACTGGGAACGTGTTGTGGCTTGACTTAGAGGAGTGATCGGGTCCAGGTTTGCAGATCTAGTCCCTGGCTGGGGCATTTCCCACCGCATCGCATCAGGGCACAGGCGCTGTCTCTTCTCTGTGATGTTCGTGCCTTTCGGTCATTGCCCGCGTCCATTCCTTCATGTGGCCGTGCGGCTGCGCAGGCTGTCATTCTTTCTTCATCAGTTGAGCTGGAATACTGCTTGAGCGAGAATCTTCTCCACAGTGGTTTTGTTTGCAGTTCCTGTTGGAGCCGGTGCCGTGGCTCACTAGGCTAATCCTCCGCCTGTGGTGCTGGCACCCTGGGTTCTAGTCCCAGTTGGGGCGCCGGATTCTGTCCCGGTTGCTCCTCTTCCAGTCCAGCTCTCTCCTGTGGCCCGGGTGGGCAGTGGAGGATGGCCCAAGTGCTTGGGCCCTGCACCCCATGGGAGACCAGGAGGAAGCACCTGGCTCCTGGCTTCAGATCAGCACAACATTGGCCGTAGCAGCCATTTGGAGGGTGAACCAATGGAAGGAAGACCTTTCTCTCTGTCTCTGTCTCTCACTGTCTAACTCTGCCTGTCAAAAATAAAATTAAATAAAATAAAAACCAGTTCCTGTTGGAAAGACAGAAAAATGCCTGGGTTAATGCCTTCATTTATGAGCCAGAATCCCTGGAGAGTTGATTTCCTAACATCCTCCAGAGTGGCTAAAGAATTGGTTTTTATTCTCTTGTGGGACACAGGGACAGCATGAGTAAGCATTCATGGCATAAGCGTGTCTGGTGTGTTTTCAGCCACGACACCTATGTCCTTATTGAGGCTCAGGTCATCCCGCACTGGCCAACTGTTGCCTCTGCACATGATTCTGAGGGCCTTGGACAGGAGGTCCTGGTGGTCTCTGACCACATCTCTGCCTCTAGGAGGTGGAGAAACCCCTCCTGACTCAGCTTGGCCATTTCTCTAAGAAGCACTAGGGCAACACGGTGGATTTGAGTCCCGGTCTTCTTGTCCTTGGAGCCGGGCTACACTGGACTCTGACTGGACCGATGTCCTCTCTGCCCCACTGGCCCCCTTCAGAGGAACCCGCCTCTGTGTTGAACCCCAAGTCCTGCCTGCAGAGTTTGAGGGGCCTGCCAATCCTCCTACTGAGGACACTAGCCACAGCTGTGGGGTCACCCCACCCCATGCCACAGTGTCCCTTGGTCCATGCCATGGGAAGAATTGCTGGCATCATCTACAGAGTGTCGGGGAAGCATCTGGTGTGTGCTGGGTTCAAGGGTGGATTGCCGCGTGCCTGGCCCCCAGCTTTCGCACAGGCGGGGCACAGGCTGCGGGTCTGGGGAATAAACAGTTCGTGGCATCCGTGGAGCATCAGAAAGTTCCCACTGTGGTCGCTCACTTGATATTCACCGTCACCTGTGAGGGAGACAAGGTGAGTCTGTTATCCCAACTTCCAGATGTGAGGACGGCGCTCACACAGTAGATGGGACGGAGAGCTGTTCTGCCACGCTCAGGTCTTAGAGAAGCCCGCAGCTGCTGCGCGGTGGTGGCCGGCCACCCTGGGTCCCTGTCCCTGCTTCACGCTGCTGCTGCCCTGGACATGCTGTGCTTTTTTTTTTTTTTTTTGACAGACAGAGTGGACAGTGAGAAAGAGAGAGAGAGAGAGAGAGACAGAGAAAGGTCTTCCTTTGCCGTTGGTTCACCCTCCAATGGCCACCGTGGCCGGCACACCGCGCTGATCTGAAGGCAGGAACCAGGTGCTTCTCCTGGTCTCCCATGGGGTGCAGGGCCCAAGCACTTGGGCCATCCTCCACTGCACTCCCTGGCCACAGCAGGGAGCTGGCCTGGAAGAGGGGCGACCGGGACTAGAACCCGGTGTGCTGGTGCCGCTAGGCGGAGGATTAGCCTGTTGAGCCGTGGTGCCAGCCCCATGCTGTGCTTTTGACAGAGGGACTAGGAAGGGCATCCAGTAGGACTGAGCTTGTCACTGACATGTGACAGGTGCCTGGGGCGCAGGTGATGCAGCCGGGTGCCCGCGCTGGTATCTTGGTAGCCTTACCCGGCAGTACAGACACCACACCGGATGAGTCTTTAATATCATGGCATCCAACCTTTGTTAGAATCAGATGGGGTCCTCCAGAAGAGAGGGCTGCCCTTTATTTACGCCCCTTTGCTACTGCATTTGGCTTCCAGTATCCCAGCAGCAGGTCGGCCACAGCCCGAAGCAGAGAAACAGAAGAGATTCGGTCCTAGCTGGTGAGCGGCTAAGGGTCGAGGTCCTGCAGGTTGGAGGACGTCCAAGGGAGCTTTTGACTTGCAAGCTCTTTCTGCTCTGGGGTGTGACAGGCGTTCTGCCAGGGCACAGGACTTCTCAGGGAGACCCTCACTGCCTGCTCCCCCCTTCTCTCCCAGCGTGGATTTCGTGAAGTGGTCCTCGCAGGGGATGCTGCGGATGAGCCCGGACGCCATGAACGCCCTCTTTAAGCCGACCATCGACAGCATCATTGAGCACCTCCGTAAGTGCCTGCGGCGCCTTGGCCACACAGCGGGGCAGAGCTGAGACTGGGGCCTGACTTCTCCAGCATCAGGAGTCAGGCTGGTAGGGGGCCTGGGGCTGGATGCCACAGGAGTGAGCAGGGCTTGGGCTGGAAGCCACAGGAGTGAGCAGGGCTTGGTCATGTAGCGAGGAGGTCCCACCCCTCTCCTCAGGTCCTGCAGAGCCGCCGAGAGCCTGCCCTCACCTGGGTTCCAGTTTGGCCCCAAAAGACAGAGAAATAGGAGCTGGGAAGCCTCCAGGGAGTGCACTGTCTGCCTCATCAGGACACGGGGGGTCCTCACCCTGCTGGGAGAGAAGCAGCTGTGGTGGGAACCAAAGGAAGGTTTTCCCGGGGCAAAGAGGACCTGGCATGCAGTCCTACTGCCCCTGCCAGTGGCCCTGACCCAGGGACACACAGCAGACTCGCTGGATTGAGGTCCAGCAGGGGCCTGCTGGATGGGAGCTCTTGCTGTCCATCTCTCAATTAAATAAAACAGAATGGCTCCTGGAGAATTCTCTTCAGTGAGCTCGGATGCCGCCAGCCAGCTCTGCAGGCGGCCCACGTGGTTTCTGTCCACTCGCCACGGGCTCGGGCGGCCCACGGCTCGTGTGCCTGCTGGCTTTCACCAACGCGATGTTCTGTCTCCCTCTTGCTTTTCAGGGGATCTGTTTCAGAAGCCCGAGGTGTCCACGGTCAAGTTCCTCTTCCTGGTGGGTGGCTTTGCCGAGGCGCCGCTGCTGCAGCAGGCGGTGCAGGCTGCCTTCGGCGACAAGTGCCGGATCATCATCCCCCAGGACGTGGGCCTCACCATCCTCAAGGGTGCCGTCCTCTTCGGCCTGGACCCCGCGGTGATCAAGGTGCGCCGGTCCCCGCTCACCTACGGGGTGGGTGTGCTGAACCGCTACGTGGAGGGCAAGCACCCGCCCGAGAAGTTGCTGGTGAAAGATGGCACACGCTGGTGCACCGACGTCTTCGACAAGTTCATCTCGGCAGACCAGTCAGTGGCCCTGGGCGAGCTGGTCAAGCGAAGCTACACCCCCGCCAAGCCCTCGCAGCTGGTCATCGTCATCAACATCTACAGCGCCGAGCATGACAGCGTCAGCTTCATCACCGACCCCGGGGTGAAGAAGTGCGGCACGCTCCGCCTGGATCTCACGGGCACCAGCGGTGCGGCGGTGCCCGCCCGGAGGGAGATCCAGACCCTCATGCAGTTTGGGGACACCGAGATTAAGGCCACGGCCGTTGATATAGCCACCTCAAAGAGTGTCAAAGTAGGGATCGACTTCTTAAATTACTAACCACCCCTCCCTGCTGCCTGCCCCCTTGGACTCAACTCATCTGCATCTGCTGACCTCAGCCTTGACCGTCCTGTCCCTGACCTTGACCCCTTGCCATCGTCTGCCCAAATTTCGTCAGGGAAGCTGAGAACAACCAGGGCCAGGAACAAGGAGATTTCTGAGTCAGTCACTGGAGTCAGGACAACGGCCGAAAGTGGAAGTTGAGGTTTGAGAACAGGAGATTTCAGGACCCTGGGAGAGCAGCTCATTTCCATAGGGACAGAGTGGAGGGGGGACCCGCCGCGTGACAAGGCGACCGGCGCCGGGCCGCAGCAGCGGATGGGCTGCGGTACACACGTCTCTGCTGAGTCGAACTCCGGTGGAAGCCCTGTGGCGTCTTCCTAGGTTTCAAGGGAGATCTCTGAGCCAGGGGGAGATCTTTATCTGGGACTTTCGTTTTGTCCTTCATGTTTTCTGGATGGCAGTCAACACAAAATGCCACCCATCTGCAGCTAATTTCTTTTCCTCATGGTGGGATCAAAAGTGGTGATTCAGGGGGAGCTTGGCACGATGGTAGCTGGTGGGAGAAGACAGCCTACACAGGGCACTATTTTAGGTTCTCATAGAATTTAAATTCCAAGGCAGCTTAGCAAAGGAAAACTGCAGCCTTGGCTCCCCCGCCGGGACTGCCACGAGTAGGAGCGCTCACACCTCAGCTTTTCAGCAGGTGGAAACTTGCTCTGCTGTTCAGGAGTTACTGACATATCCCAAATTATATTCATCCCCCTCCTCCATGGGGGATTCATTCCAAGACCTCCCACTCCATCCCCTCGAAGTGGGTGCCTGCAAACTGTGCCTAGTACTGAATTCTAGCTACAGGGGTCTTCCAAAAGTTTGCAGGAAATGGAATTAAAAGATAATGCAGATTTTCCATGAACTTCTGGAAGTCCTCGTCATATAATATGTATGTCTTTTTCCTATCTATACATACACATGATAAAAGTTTAACTTATAAATTAGACACAGTGAAAGCTTAAAACAATAACTAATAATAAAGTGGAATAATTACAGCAATGAAGTATCATAAGTGTGGTTGCCCTCTCTCCAAAGATCTTACTATCCTGGGCTGTGCTGGGGGACCACAGTTGACCAACGGTAACTGAAATTGCAAAAAGTAAATCCGCAGGTTAGAGGAGGTTCAACAGCATGTGCTGTGGGGTAATTCCCAGAACACCAACCCCCAACTCCCAGGTTCACCAGCTGTTAGCCATTCTAGCCAATCCTACCAGGAGCGCTGTGCCTTGTCGCCTTCACCAAGCCCAGACGTCCGGACCAGCCCCGACCTCGAAAACCTTCCAGACTTAAAATACTCCCTCTCCCCAACCCTGCTCATTCCTGTGTCCTTAAAGGTTTTGGCCATTGGTTCCTACACTTTGAGAGAGACTCAGCTCCTCTGTTCTATGAAATAGTTCATTACAACCTCCCGTTTTTAAAGTCTGTCTAAAAAGAATCTGGCGACACCTGCTTGATGAATTAAGCCAGTTTCTCTCGAGGCAGATCTGGGGCTCACTTTCATCTGAGTCGTTCGAATAGTTGTCAAAAACGGGGGCTTGGTTCCTGCCCCTTTTTAACCGAAGTTGACTCTTGAAGAGGGGGCAGGAATCTGCATTTTTAGGATACACCACAAGTGATTGATGTCCCATTGACATTTGAGATTTCCCAACTTTAGGTTTTGTTGAAGCCCACACAGGGCCCACAGCCTGTACCCTCTCGTCTCACCCAGGGTTCCCTTTGGAAGAGAGCTGACCCGTGGTGAGTGATGCCCTAGTCCATTGTCTGAGTGAGTGAGCTGCCTCCCTACCCCACCCCCCCTTGGGGATGGCACTTTCAACTGTCCTAGGAAGGGCCTGGGAGGAAAAAGATTTCAGGGGAGAAGAACTAAGAACGGGGCTGACCCCGGTGGTCTCTGTTCTCTCCTGTTTTCTCCAACATCAGGAACCAACTAAGAAAGAAAGAATCAAGAATCTGACTCACAGCCCATCTGATCTGTTCAAAGCTGTGTTTTCCACCTGCTGGAATTCATTCCAATTTTACATCTCGGGATGCACCCTGATTGAATAGAGGAGGGAACAGACTTCGAATGGGAGTTGGACCCACAGGCCATTAGCATAGCCGATAGGCAGATTTTCAGTCGCGTTTCAAATTTCATTTTAACACTTCTGTCTTCTTCTCACCTCATCTGCTGCAGAATCCCCGCTAGAACGGGAAATACTAACAGCCACAGAAGTAGGGAGTCTGGTCCCATGATGTCCGGGCAGGGTTCCACAGCCGGGACAGTCTTTGCTCTCGTCCTCTTGCTGCCTGCTCTGTTTCACAGCTGTCTCTAGGGTCTCTCTTTGGGGCTGGCAGCCATGTTTGTCTACAAAGAAGACTTTTGAGCTTAGTTCTGAGAAACAGAATTTTATGTACATACAATGTCAGAATCTTGTACAGAATCTTTATTTCTACTGTGTTGCTTTTCTTGTTTAAAAATAACGCTCTTTGATTGTTGTTGTTGACCTTGCTATCCCCAATTTTGCTATCCCTTCATTGCGCTCATGAATCATCAATTTATGCTGATGCCTAGCTAGGGACTATGTGCGCAGGATGGAGCAACTGATGAGGGGGGGGACCCCCTGAGTCCGTGCGGCCCCTGGATGATGGTGTCGTCAGACCCTTGCCCGCACACATCCTTCCCAGAGGCCTACAGCTTGTATCTAAAGCATTACCTATCAATCCTCCTGTCCAGACTTGGAGAACAGAAGGTTACAGTTCTGTGCGGGAGAACCTATGAAACACTTTACATCCTGTGGGGCTGTCAAGCTTCCTTCTAAGGCAAAGCAGTCACTGTACAGGCAAAACGTGGTCTCCTCTGTGTGACGACTGTAATTTTCCAAAGCCAAAGGAAGAAGTGTACATTATCCCAGCTTTTCTGCTGGGTTAGGTGTAACTGAGAGTAATATAGTCAAGCCCCCTTCTTCTCCTTTTTTTTTTTTTTTTGCTGATGTAAAGCCTTTCCTGCCTTGCATTAATGATGTCTCCTTGTCTACTATTTCTCTTTGATGAGCTGCTAGAAACCTGCAATGTTGGCAAACAGATGATGGACAGGGGGTGACAATTTAATTAGACTTCCTCCTGGCCCCAGAGATGCAGCCTGAGTAGTTAAAACTTTCAATGAGACCTCCAAAGCCACTCCCACCCCTAGAAATATTCTAGAATAAGAACACTGGACAAGTACACTTGGACACGTTTCCTAACCGTAGAACATTTCTAGAAGGCCTGTTGTCTTGACTCGTGTCTCAGTTGTCCCTGGCATATTATCTGATGGTCATGCTTCCTGGAAGCAAAACTGTCAGGGATTTCTCTTGTAACTTCCCTTTCTGAACACAGCAGGCAACAATAAATGCTGAAGGGCAGGACAAGTTACAGACAGGACAGGGAAGAGGAGGAGGCAGATGAGTGTGTCTGCGGAGTGAGGGCTGAGGTGAGTCCGGATTACAGAGCCTGCCCCACCCTTAGAATGTTATCTAGACCAAGTTTAGCTTTTAGAGTCCAAGTCTGGTTAAGTGCCAGGGTAGCCATGAATTGCATGCACTGATATAAGCAGGAGTCCAATGCACTATTAGCTGGAGCTCGAACTTCACATTGTAGAGATGTAATAGCTGTGATGAAGCTGTGGATGCCTGTATGCTGGGAACTGGCCCACGGGGGTGACCAGCCTAACACTGTTGGTCATCGTGTCACCTACACTGCCCATCTGCTTGAAATAGGAAAGCATTTATCCTACAAATCTCAGCCACTGGGGTCTTGTGCACTACAAGAAAACCCCAAACTTCACAACCTGTGCAGCGGTTCACAACTTGACGGGATTGTATCTACAAACTCTTGTCTCCACCGATGTCTAATAAAGCAAAACTCTGGATCTCACCGAGCAAGACTGCCTTTGTCTCCGTTCGGGGTCTGTGAGCGCAGCAATGCTCGGCTGTTGCCCACCGCCCCTTCTCCAGTCTGGGCCGCGGCTGGTTCCTCCATATTGTAAGCTTAACAGTCACGCCAACACCAGCCCTGCCTTCATTGGCTGGGAACCAAAGCGTCAGGGATGTCCGCAGAGCCTGGTGTTGGAAGAAGGTGTTCTAACCAGAGAGAAAGCCCGTGGGGACCCCTGACAACTCCATTGCACCCACATTTGAAAATGCGGAAGGCCTGGCACAGTGCCCTGCCCTCTGGCGTCCTCGCAGGCACAGGAAGCTGCACCTGGAGCCACACCAGGGTCACACTCCGCAGCTGGCTCTAGAAGCTTCTACAGGGCCTGAGGTGGGCTCCGAGGACTCTTAGTGGGGCAGGAAAGGCGTTGGCTCCATCGGTCCCCATCTGAGGTTGAGTTTCCTTAGAGCGTAGGCAGAGAAAGCCGGGCGCGCGGGGTAAACACGCAGCCCACGCCGCAGCGCCCCCAGGCAGCGGGCAGAGCGGCCACTGCGGGCTGTGGGCGGGGAAAGCGGCCCGGCCCCTCCCTGCCGGCTTCACAGTGGGCATCCCGGGGGGAAGGAAGGAGACAGAGGCGACGCTGGGCGGGCGGGGTGGGGAGACGCCCGGGTGTGTGCCCCGCCTGCACCGCGGAATGAGCGCACAAAGGCCGGGCTGCCCGCGAGGACCCAGCTGACCTCCACCCAGGCCGCCCCAGGTGAGCACGGCGCTGGCCGGCCCCGCCCCGCCCTCTCCCTCGGGACATCTCCTTGCCAAGCTCCGCTCTGCCCGCCTCCTCCAGGCCTGCACTCAGCACCGCACTTCGGGCCCTATTTCCTGCTCCTCAGAGTTCGGAAGTCCTGTGTTCATCCTTGTTCACCCCAGACTCCTCAAGCAAGGGTCCCAGCTTGTCTGTGTCTTACTTGTCTATGACATGGGGATGCTGTGGGTGATTAGTGACCTATAAATGCCCCCTTGCTTCTGTCCCCATCTGCAGTGGGACCGTTGAGGGGGTTAAGCAGTGCGTTGAAGACCGTTCTTGGTGGACAGGTGGGTTCACAGCCAGGTCTGTGGGACCTCACTGTTCTTAGCCTGGTGGGGACAGGGCTGTGTCACGGCTGCGGCCTCCCTTGCACCTGAAGCCGCTTAACCCGGTCTTGGAGGTGTCGTGCTCTCTTGATGAACCTGACCGATGGCCCTGATTGCAGGGTAGGACAGGGTGGCATCCGCGGAATCGATGCAGGCCCTGGCCCGTTTGGCGGGGACCACTGCACTGCCTACGGAGGAGGGAGGGTCTTGCTCTAGAGAGAGCATCCACATAAATTGGTGCTGTAATGGAGCCCCACCTCTGCTTGCCCCCCCTGGGCTCCATGCCGGTCCCTAAAGGAGTTCCCGCGGAAGCAAATATTACTGCTGCCACGGATTCCCCTGGGGGTGTGGGTGCCTCATCTCTCTTCTCCCCAGGTTCACGAGTCTCACACGGGGGCTCCTGGGTCTTGCTCTTTGTATTCCTGACCTTTGTCACATTCCATGGCCATGGTATGTGCGTAGCTTATGGTTGTTGGGTGGTTGGGTGGGTGGATGGATGGATGGATGGATGGGTGGATGGATGGATGGATGGATGGGTGGATGGATAGATGGATGGGTGGATGGATAGATGGATGGGTGGGTGGATGGATGGATGGATGGATGGGTGGATGGATGGATGGATGGGTGGGTGGATGTATGGATGGTTGGGTGGGTGGGTGGATGGATGGATGGATGGATGGGTGGATGGATGGGTGGGTGGATGGATGGATGGGTGGATGGATGGGTGGATGGGTGGATGGGTGTACTGACGGATGTGTGGATGGATGGATGGATGGACTGACGGATGTGTGGCTGGATGGATGGATGAATGGGAGGGACCTGCTGGGGAGGAGGCTGTGATCTGCAGACCTGTTATCAGGGTAAAGTGAAAGGCAGTTTGGGGCCAGGACGTTGGTTTGTAGCTGCAGCCAGCCGTGTCTGCCAGCTTTGGGTAAGACGGTGGTGCTGCTTCTCAGTCCCAGCCCCTGGCAAGGGCTTTCCTCCACTCTGGGCTCTTGCAGATGTGAGTGAGTCCTAAAGGCAGAGACTCTGATGAGACCGTTTCATTCCCCCGTCTCTTCTTAACAGAGAGTGCAACCATGGAGTCTTCTAGGATCTTCATGAGAAAGCTGCCAATCACACCCGGCTACAGTGGTGAGTGCAGATAAGCCCGGCAGGAGAGCCGCAGCCTTTCCCCGTGTCCAGGCCTGCCTGCTGACTGGGCCCTCGCAGGTGCTCTCATGTTTGAGACACATGGAGGGTGCTCCGTGACTGCAGACGCCTGAGAGCTGAGTTCTGATCAATAGAGAACTTGGGCCAGATGGTCCCGATGTGGCCTGGTAGGCAGGAAGCGCTGAAGGCCTGGTGGATGCCTTTGGACAAGGACAGACACAAGGCTTTGACGACGAGCACAGTAGCTAAGCTGGGGCTCTGTCCTTCCCAGGTGGGGCGCTCTCAGTCCCCGCCAGAGGCTGTCCCTGCGTTGTCATTCTTCCCTGCGGTCCCTGCAAGGAGGGTGGCCAAGTGCCCTGATTCTCCCAGGGCTGTGCTGGTGTTAGCGCTGGGAAGTCATGCATCAGGGAGACCCTTCAGCACCCGGCCAACCAAAAAAGTTGTTGTTTGCTCTACGTCCTCCAACTTCTGGGCTGCTGTGAACTTACAAAGTCACCTCCCTGTAGGTGGCAAACCCAGTGGTCCCTGTGGACGCTCTGCTCTCACACACTGTATGTCTGGTGCTTGGGATAGTCCCAGCCTCGGCCTGGCCTCCTGTCTGGTTAAGAGAACAGGATGTGGGCCTTGATGAGCTTCAGTTCTCCACCTGCTCACTCCACAATTGTAAGGAAGCAACTCATCTCTCTGGGGGGGGGGGGGATGGAGAAGATTCTGGAACATGGGTGTAGTCATTTTCTAGGATGGCTATAACCAATCACCACCAACTGGGTGCTTTAAAGTGACAGCAGTTTCTTCTGGCACAGTTGTGCAGGCTGGAAGTCTACAGTGGAGGGTGGGATGTTTCCAGGCGTGCACATATACACTCAGGTACAATATACACAGGTCAGAGCAGGCCCTGGTGATGGGGAAGGGACTGTGGCCATGCCCCTGGGGTTCTGTGGCCTCCTACACCACAGTGGGGCTGTCTTTTGATTGTCCAGGGGCTGAGGTGGTGCCGTGGCAGCCCCGGGGACTTGCAGCAAGGTCAGGATCAGCCTACGCGCTGATTCCTTGGGGGCCTGGGCTGGTTGATCGCAGGGGTCAGCGGGAGGGTGGCGGCTTTCAGCCCCGAGGCCGGGTTTCCCCCTAATGTGCTGAGCTGTATTTACTTTGCAGTTTAAAAGCAAGTTCTTAACCAGTTTTCCTCATTTGTTCTCTTTAAAAGTGGCTTTATTGTGACAATATTATAGTACTTAGGATTCCGCATCGAGTTTAAACAAATAGTTGTGCTTTCCCCGTAATGATCGTAATGATTATATGTTATTTGGTGGGAAATGGGGAAAAATTGTTCCAGGGGAGGGTCTTACAGATAATGAATTTACCTTTTTGTGTCTCTGCTTTTAATAAGCCTGCAATTTTCTGATGGTCTGGCAGGAAAGATCCCAAATTACACTTGGGAAGTGTCAAGGAAAATAAGCTTTCTCTCTCTAAAACGATGAATAATTTCAGTAGCTTCTCAGGTTATCATTTTGGCCCATTAAATGCTTTCCCCACTTAGGGTGCAGGCAGGCGTAAGGGGCTTGGCTAGCAAAGAACAGGTACCAGTCCTCTGCGTTGGTGAAATGCGCCTTCCCTCCCCAGCCCCAAGGTCATTTCTTCTTGGCCTTGGGAGGGCTCAGCCACAGTGGAAGCCACAGCACTGATTGTGCTAATGGCCTTTGGGAAAATGCAGCATTGCTGGCCCCGGGGGGTGGGCTGGCATTCAGGGTAGTTTAGAGGGATTCTGAACCTCTCCCCCTCCCCCAGCCTCGGTCAAGGCTGTGACTCGGCTGCTTTTGCAGGCTTCGTGCCATTCGTTAGCTGCCAGGGAGGCTCCAGCGAGGAAGATGTGGGCCACTGCCTGAAGACCTTCCAGGAGAGCACGCGCAGATACAAAGCCCAGCTGGAGGAGCTTCGCTGCTTGGTGGCCACTGCTCCCACACTGAAGCCTGTGTGCTCCGAGGAGACGGTCCAGCGGGCCGTGCACGAGTACTACCGGAAGTACCACCCCTTGAGTCTGGGTATGGGCTCCCCTCCCCCAGCTCCCCCCTTCTCCTTGCTTCTAAGCATAAACCCAGCAGCAGCTGAAGTTGCAAGTCCCCAGGCCTCCGTGCAACATGCAAAGGCTCAGCCCCTTATGTCCCTTCCTTAATCTCTCCCTCCCATCCTCCCTTCCTTCCTTCTTTCCTTCCCTCCTCCCTTCCTTCCCTTCTTCCTTCCAAAATTTGAGAGGCAGAGAGACAGAGAGAGGAGACAGAGAAGGCTCCAGAAGCCAGGAGCCAGGGCCTGGAAACTCAATCCATGTGGGTGGCAAGAACCCAGTTACTTGAGGCATCACTGCTGCCCCCCAGAGCCTGCATCAGCAGGAAGTCAGAATCAGGAGCGGGAGCTGGGTGTGAAACCCAGGCACTCCTATATGGGACACGGATAACTTAACCGCCGACTTCACTGCTTGGCCAATGTCTGCCCCGGGCTCAGTTCCTTAATGTGAGAGGTCCATTGCTAGGGGAGAGGGTGCTGATCTGGGAGCTGAGAGCCTGGGAGTCACAGCAGATCTCCAGGCGTCAGCTCCTGGGGCAGTGGATACCACGTTTTGTCTGGGCCGGGCGCTCCTGTTTCGCTGACCATCACTACAACCCCACACGGCCCAGACTTAGTCCCATCTTAGCGATGAGGGCAGTGAGGGCAGCGTGGGCACTGACATCAGGCCTGGGTTTGAATTCTGCTCCTAGCTGAGCGGGAGGGGATTCACACTGAGCAACACCTATGACCGATGACCGTAGCAGTGATAATCACAGCAATGACTCGGCCTGGGTCGCTTTTTAAGATCTGAAGGCCTAAAGCAAAAGTAACGGGGTCATTGCCTTTATTGTTATTCCTATACGTGTTTGGGGCCTTTTCAAGGACACACGGCCGTTTACATGGTTGCGTGCTTTAAAATGTTCCAGACATCACAAAGAACATCTGAGGCTGAGCTGGCTCTGTCGCTACTTGCTGGGTGACCGCGGGCAGCCTGTTTCCCTATCTCAGCTCTGCTTTCTTCCTCCAGCTGTGAGGTCCTGGGACTCAGCGGCCTCCTGCAGGAAGGAGTAGGGGCAGTCACACCTGCCCAAGGTCACCCAGCCAGCCAGAGTCAGGCTTCCGGTGCTGAGTCTGACTCTCTCCTAACCTGCAGGCTGTTCCTCCCCTTATGTAAACCGTCACAGCGGGAGGTCTGAAGCTTTGTCATTCCCTTGACAAAGGGGCTTGGGACGAACACCAGGCTAGAGTCCTGGCCCTGCCACCTTGTGGCTGTGGGTGGGTGGCCTTGGCCCAGTCTCTCTTAACCTCCTCCAGGTCTCAGTCTCCTCCCGAGTGGAGGGAGTGTTGGGACCGACCTCTTAGTCTGTGAGTGAGTTAGGTGGGATACTCTGTATCCACAGCAGTAACCAAGCAGTGTCCTGTGCTGTACCTCCTCTGGGCTGACTGCTGGGGTGCCAGCTACCCATGTGGCTTTCCCAGGGAAGCATGGTGTCTCTCTCTCTTTTTTTTTTTTTTTACAGAATGCAAATACATCAAGAAACCTCCCGAGGAGCCTCCCATCCCCGGCTGGGCAGGCTACCTGCCTAGAGCCAGGGTCACTGAATTTGGCTGTGCCACAAGGTACACTGTCATGGCCAGAAACTGCTACAGGGACTTCCTGAACATCACAGAGCAGGCCAGGAGGGCACGTCTAAAGCCATACGAGGTGTAAGTATGTCTCAGCTCATAACCACAGACAGCAAAGTCCAGGGAGGAAAGCAGCCCTGCCCAGCATCCGCTTGTTTGTGCTTGGTTTGTTGTAAAGAAGTTGTGACTGCAGGGCCTTCCCAGTAGGCAGCCACCCTCTGCCTCCCCAGCAGCCTGCTGGTTTGTAGGGAGGGGCTGGGAGTGAAAACCAAGGGGGGAGGGTCCATCTTGGCAGCAGCCTTGGGGTCAAGGGTGCTGAGGGAGGGAAATGTCAGAGGACACCAAGACACTGCATAAGGAAGCTCTTGTGGCCTCAACTTTGCTCTTCTGTTAAATGGGAATAAATTATAAGGCTCAGAAATAAACATGCCATGCTCACACAGGACTGCATGTGTTATGTTTGTTCTTATTTTTATCATGAATGAAAGGAGTAATTCTATGACTTTTGCTCTTTAGAACTCACGGAGTCAGCACCCCACAGCTTCCTGCTCCTTCTCCAAGAGTGCTGATCCACGGAGGGCTGCTGCCCAAATACCCGGATTTCTCTGTCCCAGGTATGGAAGTCTTTCTCCCCTACCTTTCTCTGTTTTTCATAAGGGGATGAGATGTTTGCAATGGCCTCTCTGCTTGCACCTGGGCCACGTGCCTGCAACTCATGCAAACGGTTTCTCTTCCAGATGGAAACTGCCCCGCCCTGCAAAGACCCTTGACGGAGGACCCCAGCACCCTGGGCCCGTGTGGCTGTGCTCAGAGGCCAGACCTGTGGTGCAACGAGAAGTTCTCTCTATAGCCACTGTCCTCAGCAAGCTATGCAGAAAGCTAGGTGCAAGAGGAGAACCTTGGGGGCAGGGCTCAAAAGCCTGCTGTCGTCACATCAAAATCAGCCCACACCCTCATGGGTGATCAGAGCTTTAATAGCGAGAACTCTCTTAGTACCACCTGCGTCCGAGTGGTTGGCAGGAGCCCGGCGTTCGTGGGGAAGACCGTAGATTGTCACGTGGGAGTACAGAGGACACTTCTTAGTGTCCCAGGGCTTTTGTGGGGTTTCTCCCCGGGTTGTGTGATCTTGAGAAGAGCCAGGGGGGCTGTTTCTTCTAAGCCCAGAGGTGACACTGCACAGTCCCAGCCCGGCCCTCTCGCCGGTTGGCTTCCACGGTCACCCTGGGTCCTGGCATGGCGTGTCCCCAACACTGGCACAGATGCTGTGTCCACCCCAGCCCTGGTTCCCCAGAACCCCTGCCCCCAGGTTGTCCAGCTAGCTGGCCCCAGCTATATTCATCTGCTAGAGCTGCTGTAATGAAACACCCCAAAAGGAGCGGCTTCAGACGACAGATTTGTCATCTGATAGTTCTGGACGCTGGCGGCCCAAAGCCAAGGTGCCAGCCAGGCCAGGCTCCCTGCCTGCCTCTTCCCGTCTTGTGTGGCTTGCAGCAGCTTGGGCGACCCTTCCTGGGTAACCGCATTCCCCTTCTTCCTCCCTGTGTGGTCCGCATCGCCACGTGGCCATCTTCTCAGGGGGACAGTCACACTGGAGTGGGAGTCCACTCTGTTCCTGTGTGGTCACCTCCTCACTGAAGACAGCTGCAGGGGCCCTAGTTCTAAACATGCCACACCCTGGGGTACCGGGGACTGGGAGTCCACTGTCCCTGTTCTGAGGGGCACAGTTCCATCCACAGCACTCACAGGCACTGTCCTCTCTGGCCTCACCTGGCAGCAAGCAGCCCTCAGAAGAAATCAAAAGCAGTTCTGGGTGGCGGGGGTTGGGTGCAGGCAGTTGAGACCCTGCTTGGGATGCGTGTACCCTGTACCAGGATGCTGGACTGAGTCCTGACTCTGCTTCCTGCTAATGCACACTCTGGCCTGGGAGGCCCTGAAATGTAAGCTTCAAAGAGGTGACCTGTATGAAATTTGAATTAATTTTTTAAAGATTTATTTGGTTTATTTGAAAGGGTTACAGAAAGATAGAGAGAGAGAGAGAGAGAGAGAGAGAGAGAGAGATCTTCCATCTGCTGGTTTACATCCCAAATGGCCACAACAGCCAGGTCTTCATCAGGCCGACGCCAGGAGCCAAGAACTCCATCCGGGTCTCTTGCATGTGTGTCAGGGACCTAAGTACTTGGGGCATCATCCCAGGTGCATTAGCAGGGCGCTGGATTGGATGTGGAGAAGCTGGGAGTCCAAATGATGCTTATGTGATATGCCAGCATCGTAAGTGGTGGTTTAACCCGCAGTGCCTCATCACCAGCCCCTTTTCCTAGATTCTTAAACAGCTGGAAAAGCAACCCCGGAGCCCCCGGAGGAACCATAGCCGGATCTCTCAGCTGTCCAGGGCCGTGTGGCCCGGGGCTGCCTCTTCCCGAGCCCTTCATTAATGAGGGCTGTCAGCCTGGTTCCCTCTCCCAAACTCAGAGGGTTTGCAGATGCCAGCTCAGGGCTCAGGTTGTTTGGGTCTTGGCCATGAAATGAAGGGTGCGCCAGGCCTGACGTGACTCCCCACAACAGCTCGCATCTATGAGATCATAGCATGCATCAGTATTTAACTCAGTGGCTAATTCGTTCCGCACCAGTATTAAAAAAAAAATAATGAAGTTCTGATCTGTAAAACTGAAACAAGACCGAAAAATAACCACCTAGTGACAGAGGTAACAAAATCGAATAAAGGCAATTTTAAAAATTCTCTAGTAGTGTCTAATTCTTCCCTAACTTCGTGATTAAGATCACCAAGTTCAATGTGCAAATCCGTACCTCCTTTTGTTGGAGCAGTTCCGCAGGGCAATTCTTTTCCTTAATCTTCGTCCTTTCTGTTTCTCTCTAGCCTATAATTTCTGGAGCGTCGTCTGTCGGAGGGAGGAGGCAGAGGGGTGATTTTACTGCTCAGCAAATTATCATGATTAGCGCAAGCTGCATCCTTAATGAGCTCATTCTTGCCACTAAAAACAATTCCATTACCTGATGTGACACAACTCCCTGAGCCGAGGGGCCTTTTGTTGGGATAGGCTGGCCTCTGTGACAGGTAAAGCATTCCCTGGGGGCTGTTCTTTCTCTCCTTCTGTGCCAGGGTTCTCTGTCCCTGCTGCCCACCCGGCTCTTGGAAGGACCTCAGTTACAGCTTTTGCTCTGCCTGGCACAGCCGTGAGGCCTGTGGGCCTGTGTCAGGCTCCCAGAGTTCTCCGGGTGCCTTCTCTTTGGCTGTGTAGCTGCGGACAGTTTCCTGAACCTCTCTGAGCATCAGATGGAAGGAAAAAAAAAAAAAAAAAAAAAGAACGAAGAACGTACCCAGCAGCGTGGGTGTGAAGACTGATATTAGGCCCTTCTGCGGGCGCCGCTGTTCTGAGTTAGCAGCAGGAAAACGCGCTATCATGGAACTGGGTTGGGGGGAGGAGTGACGTCTCTGAGCCCAAGGAATGAGTCACTGACAGGGCCGCAGCAGGGCTCCCGGCCCCTAACCAAGTGCTCTGTTTCCCACCGTGGTTTCCTTCCTGGGACTCTGCCCCGAGAGGCTGGTAGAGAGGTGAGATCAGCCAACAGCACCCACGGCGGCAGCAGCTAACACATGCAGACTGTTTGCTCTGGCTCGGCCTGTGCCCGGAACAGCCTATCTAAGGAGTATAATTATTCCCATTTTACAGAAAGGAGAAACTGAGGCACACAGCTGCTCCATCTCACAGACAGTAAGTGGTTTCAACGTAGAATCAGTTCAGCCAGAAATCGGACGGGAGGGCAAACAAGAGCAACACAAAAGCACAGGCAGCAAGAGGGAGCCAGCGTCACGGGGGTGTGGCTACCGCAAGCCAAGCCTCGAGCATCCTTAGCTCTGAGGCTCAGGGAACGCTGCCTTCCTTGTGGGTTGTGTTGGAGGCCTTGCAGCAGTGGAGGCACGGGGCGGGGCGTGTTGCAGGGGTGAAGCCTGCAGCTTCTTTTCCTGCCCATCACAGCTCAGACCGCTGCAGAGGGCGAAGGGTGGGGCTGGCAGCCCCCTCCCTGCCTTCAGGCTCTTCTGTCTTGCTCGCTCTCCAGGATTCCAGGAGCTGGCACCTCGATTCCCTCCCTGGAGAGCCTCAGCATTCCTTAAATTGCTTCTCGCGAAAACATCCCACGTGGCTCCTGCTGCCCGGCGGCCTCGAGTGGGCACCCGAAAGTGTGAGCTGTCACTGGGGGGCGGCTGCCCACGCAGGCGAAGCCGCCAGCCCCCTGCGTGCTCCTTGGCAGCCTCTTACTCTCAGCTGACGCAGGGCAGTCAGAGGAGGGACAGGTGCGCCAGACTCCATCAGGTTTCCAAAAGCAGGCTCCCTCCTGGGAGAAGCGAACATATACACACATACCTGCCTCCAATAACATCTCATGTGCATATTTGAGTTCAAGCCAGATTTGTCTGGATCTCCAAAGGTGGAGGGGGTGCCTGCACCTCTCTTCTGAGTAGCCCGGGGCACCATTCTGAAGGCGCCACCAGGCTCTGCTTGGCCTAGGGGAGCTGGCACCCAGCCTGGCGTCCTTTAGACCTGGTTTCTGATGGGCGCTCTCCTGCAGATCACGCGAGGGCCCCTGTTCCCCCCGGGGCCCGTGTCTGGCTGTGGGCCCGTCCTCAGTCTGAGGACCCTGGCTCCAAGGTCTGCAGTCTGTCGGCTCTAACAGAATGCTCGTCCGCTACCACTAAAATCACTTCCTTTTGCCCAGTGTGGGTGGCATCTGCGTAAGCACTTCAAGTGTTTCCCAGCCTGTGTGTCTGAAGGCATTGCTGGCGCTTTTGTATTCTTGCGGGCATTTATCACACGCGCAGCTTTGTGGAGGTCAGAGCTGGGTTGTTCCACTGGGTTGTTCTCGTCCTCTCTCTTTTGTGTCCTTCCAAACGCTCCGAGGACCTTTCAGCCAGGGTGTCCCCAGAGCCGTTCTGCGGATTTACCGCTGCGAAGGCAGCATTTTATGTGAGCGCTGCTGCAGCTTCCTGCCCTGAAGGTATCCAGCCTTTCAACAGGACGTAAATTACTAAGCTGTCCTTTTAAACCAGAGGCTGGGCGCCCACACAAAGGACCAAATGGCCAAGATTTTAGGCTTCGTAGGTCACCGGGTCACTGTCACAACAATTTTTTTTTAATGGGTTCTTTTTTTTTTTTTTTTTTGACAGGCAGAGTGGACAGTGAGAGAGAGACAGAGAGAAAGGTCTTCCTTTAGCGTTGGTTCACCCTCCAATGGCTACTGCAGCCGGCACGCCGTGCTGATCCGATGGCAGGAGCCAGGTGCTTCTCCTGGTCTCCCATGGGGTACAGGGCCCAAGCACTTGGGCCATCCTCCACTGCACTCCTGGGCCACAGCAGAGAGCTGGCCTGGAAGAGGGGCAACCGGGACAGAATCTGGCGCCCCAACCGGCACTAGAACCTGGTGTGCCGCAAGGCAGAGGATTAGCCTAGTGAGCCGCGGCGCCGGCCCACTGTCACAACTATTGAATTCCAACATTTCAGCAGGAAAGCAGCAACAGACAATATGCAAATGAATGCACAGTTGAGTTCCAATAATATTTCTTTAGAGATGCTGAAATTTTAATTGCATTTTATTTTTGTGTTTCATGAAATATCATTCATCTTTTGCATATTTTAAAAAGATCTGTTGGGGTCGGTGCTGTGGCATAGTGGGTAAAGCCACTGCCTGAAGTGCCAGCATCCTATATGGGTACTGGTTCAAGTCCTGGCTACTCCACTTCCAATCCAGCTCTCTGCTATGGTCTGGGAAAACAGTGGAAGATGGCCCAAGTCCTTGGGCCCCTGTACCCGCATGGGAGACCCGGAAGGAGCTCCTGGCTCCTGGCTTCGGATGGGTGCAGCTCTGGCTATTGCGGCCATCTGGGGACAATGGATGGAAGACCTCTCTCCTCTCTCTCTCTCTGCCTCTCTGTATCTCTGCCTTTCAAATAAATAAATAACAAATACTTTTTAAAAAGAGA